CCCCAAAACCCCAAAACCCCAAAACCCCAAAATGAAAATTATCAAATCTTTAATTAAAGAAAAATGATTTCAGTAAAAGATTTTAGAAAATAAGATTATTAAGCTGTATATCCTGTAGTCTTATGACATTAATTAATTAATAATTCAATTTTGAGGTATAATAGTTTTAGACCTCTAAAAAGAGGGACTGTTTTATATGGTTTAAGCTTAAGGGATTTTTTCAATAAGATCAATTTTCTAAAGTAATTCTCCCTTGGGACTCTTAGAATTGATAGAATTCATTAATTCACTCTTGAGTTCATTGAGTCTTAACTCAACTATAGGACTTCCATTTGTTCTTATTCGGTTCTCGTTTACCAGTTTCTAAATTCGCTTTATAGTTTACTCTCCTTTTTCCTGCTTTGGTATATTTTTCACATAGGCCAAATACTTCTCATTAAAGAATTAATCCTCTTTTCTGTTTGACAGCAGGAAATTCAAATGCTTCGAAAGTTTTCTATCCAAATCAAATTTCAATATATTCTTAGCATTAGATAGTTTTTCAATGTCCCTCAAGCTCATCTTTTTAAAAGATTTATGATGGCTATCAAGTTTATTTTTGAGTTCAGGTTCTTTATACGAATAATACTCGTTGAATAGCTTTTGCACTTCATGAAATTAGTATTTATTAGCTACATGTATATATTTTTAACTCTGGTCAGGCACTAATATAGTCCCAATAAAACTATTATAAAATAAGGAGCTAATTTATCTTACTCAGGGGTTTCTCTGTTCAAGTAAGCACTATGTTCGAATTCTGAATCTCTAATAGTATCTTACCTCCCGATTAAGGAAGTTAATTTTTGTTTAACACTCTATGTGAAATCTTCAATGCTAGTTTATGCGTCTATTTTTCTTCTCGAACTCTAAGTGTTCTATGTAAGCAAGTATTAAGTATTAGTGAAGTTCATCTAGTCATCATTATTCAGAGAATGCTCACTTGGGGAATTCAAGGTAGTTTTTGCTTGATTGTTTCCGCTTGTTGGTTAGAAAGTCGACTTCTTTCTGCTAATTAGTTTTTCATGAAAGACATCCTGTGACTTCTTTCGATCGTTAGTAATTTACTCCCCAATTGCAGACTTTGACTGATTGTTTAGTTTTAGTGCTGGCTTGATTGAAAGAGAGGTTTAGTTGACAATAACTCTCGGAGAGTCTGAAGTTTGATTATGAAATGATTAGAAAGATTATTCCTGAAGTTGATTTGCTATATCATCAATTCCTGCCATATTACCTATTGCAAACTAAATATTCTTTTAATGCCTATTATTTGTGGGGACCTCACTTAGGTGTTTGAAGTGCGATCTTTTTAAGGGATTGCTGATATTAAAGAAATTCCTCATCTCCTTGACACTATCCTCGAAATTCCTCATCTTGGTTCGTCTGTAATGCTTCTCCACTATTTTCTTCAGGTTTTCCTAATTAGAATTAACTGCAATGGTGTCTCCGTATTTCTCCTTGGGTACTATTCCATATTTTTATGCCATTTGATGTATATCCTCTTCTATCTTCAGTTGGACAGACATCTGTTTCTATTCGTTAGTCTTTTTTTTCTTATCAATGCTATTTCTTCTGTTTTTAAATTTATTCTTTGGAGATTCACCTGACTGTTAAAGATAGAAGAAGTACTGTTCATTGTCGCCAACAAACATTTCCTTGAAGTAGTTAGGATCTTGCAGTTTCACTTTAATCTGCTTTTCCATTTCCTATTTCATTAGCATGTCTCTGTGCAGCTATTATTCCCTCTTAGATTTGTTGAGATTAACTAGCTAGGATTTTTAGTTATTCAGGTACTCTTCCTAGAGATCGTCAATCTTCTCCTGAATTTACTTGAACATAACTTTCCTTCTGTTAAAACTACTGCCAATCTGCTTATTCTGCTATAAAAGTACTTCCCCTAATTTACTCAAAGTTTATTTGGGATATTCTACAATACAGTCAGGTGGGATTAGCTAATACTTGGCTTAATGTGATTATCTGTTACTGTTGATGTTGTTTTAGGATGACTGATTCTAACCCTTTATTACTGTTCTCGATCTTTTATTGTCATTTCCCATTGATTTTGATAGGTTATTTCGAATCTTAACAGGTGGCAACTTTAAACCATCAATTTTCTAATCATTTGAATTACTCTGATCTTAGTTAGAATATTTTTAGGTGTCATATTAATAACGAGTTGAAGAAGGCGACATTGTATGCCCCTGTTTGTTTGATTAATAATTTAAGTTGTTATTGGTGTGAATACTGTTATTATTTTAATTATTGTTACCCTGATGATTGCTTATTTTAGGTAAATCACTAATCATCGGCACTAAAACTGAGTTATTGTGAGTATTGCCTTTGACTGAGCCACTATGAATGGTGTTATTTAACTTGCTTTTATTTGAAAGTAGAGCACTTTAATCATAATTATTGTCAGATATGGTTCTAGGAGAGTGCTTTTCAGATTGAATGTTCAACTTAACTCCTTTCTATTTGCTCTTGAAAGAGAAAATAGTTTGAGTTTGGTTCAATGAGTACTTGTGCGTTTGAGGACTTAGAGTTTTTTCCCGAGGAATGTCTGAATACTTGTTAGGTTCGTCTACCTAAGAGATTTCTACTGTAACGGCTCTTTCCTACTCCCTCAATTTTTGCTTGCCAACTAAAGTTTCTGAGTCATGAGAATAGTCGAAAATCGAAGTCATTTTATTATATTAAATTCTATCAAGAAATTAATATTTCAAATTAATATTTGATCTCGGGGTTTTGGGGTTTTGGGGTTTTGGGG